TGCCTCGAATGTAAAAGGATCCAGGCTTGGCATCATTTTGAAACCGCCTATGGGCGGTGTTATTAGACAATCTATCAAAACTTATAATTGACTAACAATGAGGCCGAGTATGAAGCCATGATCATAGGTCTTGAGCTAGCCAAGGGCCTCGGAGCAAAAGTCATCGAGGCCATGTAAATGGAAGCTTCGAGGTCCGAGACGATCGAATGCAGAGGTACTTGGACAAACTTCAAATAACACTGCACCGCTTCAAAGAGTGGATACTGGACCATGTACCTCGAGAACAAAATAGCGAAGCCGACACACTAGCAAACGTGGGATCATCAGTCGAAGAAGACGATATCGTCCCCGGGGCCATCATCCAGTTGTCAAAGTCAGTAATCAAAGAAAGCCATGCAGAGATTAACTCGACAAGCTTAACATGGTATTGGAGGAACAAGTACATCGACTATTTAAAGCATATGAAGTTCCTCGCGGACCCAAAGGAGTCAAGAACACTCCGAACCAAAGTGGCTCGATTATTGCTCGATAAAAATGGAACGTTATACAGAAGAACCTTCGATGGACCAATGGAAGTGTGCTTGGGACCCGAGGATATAGCTATGTACTGCGGGAAATCCACGAGTGCTCCTGTAGGAACCATTCTGGTGCAGACTCTTTGATTCGCAAAATGATCAGAGCAGGATATTATTGGGATAGCATGGAAAAAGATACTAAGGAATTTGTTTGAAAGTGTGATAAGTGCCAAAGATTTGCGCCAACAATTCACCAACCCGGTGAACAACTTCACTCGGTCCTATCCCCATGGCCATTCATGAAATGGGGATGGACATCGTCGGCCCCCTACCAATGGAGCCAGGTAAAGCTAGATTCATTTTGTTTATGACTGACTACTTTTCAAAATGGGTTGAAGCGCAGGCCTTCGAGAAGGTAAGAGAAAAAGAAGTCATCGACTTCATATGGGACCACATCATATGTCGGTTCGGGATACCCGCTGAAATAGCATGTGACAATGGAAAATAATTCATCGGCAGCAAAGTGACAAAATTCCTCGAAGACCATAAAATCAAAAGGATCCTGTCAGCACCTTACCACCCAAGTGCAAATGGGCAAGCCGAGTCCACCAACAAAACCATTATCCGAAACTTGAAGAAAAGGCTAGATGATGCCAAGGGGAAATGGAGAGAGGTGTTGCCCGAGGTATTATGGGCATATAGGATGACATCGAAGTCAAGCACGAGGGGGGGACCCCATTTTCATTGGTGTATGGGTCTGAGGCCTTAATCCCAGTCGAAGTCGGAGATCCTAGCATAAGGTTTCAGCATGCCACAGAAGGCTCAAATAACGAAGCAATGAAGGGAAGCTAGGTCCCAATTGGGAAGGACCGTGCCGTGTTCCCGGAGTCATAGGGAAAGGATCGTACAAACTTAGCATAATGGAAGGTGAGCAACTACCAAATAACTGGAATATATAAATGCTCAAGCGGTATTATTACTGAGCTCAAAGACCTTGGGTTTGAAAGCATGTGTTGCACTCTTTTTCCCTTGGATCGGGTTTTATCCCAAATGGGTTTTACCAGCAAGGTTTATAACAAGGCAAGGCCTACATGCTACCTAAGGGTCACTCAACAAGTATTCCAGGCTTCTTTTCAATCAACCTCGAATATTAGGGAGGAATCACCCTCGGAGGTTATAACTTTGAGAAAGATATTTCACGCCTGAGAGGGCCTCGATAGGATAACTTTGTAATGGGCCAAATGATATTAGGCTATATAGATGATATTTACACCTTAATATTACCATGCTTTATTGTTGTTTTATAGGTAAATTGATAACAAAATGCTCTAAATGGTGTTCTTTTGCAATGCAGGGAATATTCTAAGTGAGGAAGCACTACAGAGTATTTTGGAGGCAATAATGTGAAGAAAACGCACAATCAAGAAGTACCCGAGCACAAAGAAGCAAAAAATGGACTGAATGAATTCTACCGCGACCGCGCTGGAACCGCGGAAGACCAAGTGTTTGAGGCAGAATGTTCAGCTTTCACCGCGGTCGAGCCGCGGTCTTGCCGCGACCGCAGTGAACTGCTCACGTGCCAGAAAGTTTGGGTACCAAAGTGTAAATAGGAAAAAACTTATTCCAAGCCCTTATAAACTTTACAAGCTCGCCCAAGACATGGGGAAGCTTGTTTTTAGACTACTTTGAAGGCAAGAACAAGTGTGAGAAGATCAACCAAACATTAGAGTTTTTTATCTCCTTTTATTTTCTTACAATTACCCTATGAATAATTTAGTAGTTTTATCTTGTTTTGTCATGAGTAGCTAATTTCCTAGTCTAGGATTTTTATGGAACCTATTGACGGATGAAATTCTTGTTATGTTAATATAATTTACCCAGTTTAAATCTCTATTTGTTCAACTTCATGCATATTGTAGTTAATTGACAGGATCCTCAATTAGTTGTGCCTATTTAGTGTGCATAACTCGGGAGAGAGTGCATATTTAGGTAATTGTTGAATAACACTACTCCCAAAGTATATGAGGGATCAATAACTGAGGGTTTAAAGGAAGGATTAGAGATAACGAAGCCTTGGGTGTAATCTAAAGTGAGCTATAATAAATAAAGCCAGCTAGCGTAACTCGGGAAAGTGTGTTTAGTAAACTATCGTGATTACTCGGGAGAGATTTACGGTAATAAGAGGGCTCATGATTGATAGAGACGATTATTGGGTGAATCTATATGAAACATAACCGGAAAGGATTCCATCAATAGGAGAAATCATAACCTTAGAACCTTCTCTTAATTATTTACAACTCAATCATAGTTAGTTTTCAGCTGCCTATTTGCATTCATACTTATTTAGTAGAAATACCAGCAACTGTTATTTACAACATTTGGGAAGTTGATTCCGTAGAATTTAGTAAGTCTAACAAGAATAATTGATAGGTTAATTCCTTGTGGGTTCGACTCTGGGCTAAATACTCAGATTATATTTGCAACGTCTGCGTGTCCTTTTTGTAAGGCATAGTTGGGCGTGATCAAATTTTGGCGCCGCTGCCGGTGAATTAACGATGTTATCAATTACAATTGAAAGAAGTACAAAAATTCTTAGTGTAGTCAGTTTTCTCTATACCCAATCTTTACATTGAAATTTTAACGTTTGTTGACTTGGTTGTACAGGTGCATGCCTAGAAACTCATCAAGAACTGGTGAAGTATTTGAAGTATTATCAGATCCCGAGAGAGTTTTCAAGGCCTTGAATTGGGCCAACCGGAAAAACAAACAACTAAACAATTCGAACCAGACATAGGGATCACGAAGTAGACCCAGTTGTACTAATAGCGCTAGTGGCACCTCTTGTGCCAGAGGTTGCTCTCTATGACTCGGCACAACCCACAGCTGAATATCTGGCCACAACGATTTTAGTCCCATAGATACAGGCTGAATCATTCCAAATCGCAAACAATATGTTGCACTTGTTGCAAAACAAGGGACTATTTTCGAGGACATAAGTCGAAGATCCTCAACAACACTTGAAGAATTTCCTATCAATCTGCAAAACCCAAAGGCAACCCAACGTAACTCCGGAAGCAATCAAGCTGTTATTGTTTCCATTCTCAGTGACAGAAGCTACCCAGACCTGGCTAAACTCACTCCCCATTAATTCCATAACAACTTGGGAGGAGTTAGTCAAGCAATTCGTGAACAAGTTCCACCCACCCAACAAAACTGCTCAACAAATTGATGAAATTTTGAGTTTCAAACAGAGACCAATGGAGACACTGCATGAAATATATGAACGATTCAAAGGGATGTTGGTTATATGTCCGCACCATGGTATTCCAGATCTGATGTTGGGACAGCAGTTTTACATGGGATTGTCAGATAGTGTGAAGAACATTGTTGATGCTTCAGCTGTTGGAGCATTTTTGAGTAAACATGGAGAGAAGGCCAGAGTCTGCTTGACAAGATGGCACAAAATTCGGGATGGACAACCAGGAATGCACCTATCACTCTAGTGGTTCACTCAGTGCCCTTAGATCCATCCAACTCTATGGATAAAAATAAAACCACCTTATTGACACAGATGAGTATCCTCGCCAAAAAGCTGGAAGAGTCAGGACAGAAGAAGCAGGTACACATCGTAGATACTACCAATGGGGGCTTGTGCACATCTTGCATTAGTCAGCCAATTGGCAACCAGTGGAATGCAGAACATGTCATCATCACTACCCTGAAGACATGAATTATGTGTCTAATTATGGAGGCCAGAGACAGGGTGGTCAGAATTGGGGCCAGCAAAATCAATCGTACATGCCAGTCCAACCACAGTTCAACAATGGGAACATGGGAGGTATGAGACCTCCTAACAATATGGCACCTTACCCAAGGACATAGGGATATAACAATCAAAATCAGCAGCAGGGGTATCACCCTCCTCAGCAGTAGTATGGTGGACGACAGGAAGATGGGTTTGCTAGACGTGAGGCAATGATGCAGTAGGTTATTGGGTCTAATGCAAAAATTAGTGAAAGAGTAGATGCACATGATTTAGCTAACAAGAATATTGAAATGCAGATGGGCCAAATTTCGATGTCTCTAAACAATCTTCCTCATGGGACATTACCCGCAGATACTCAAATAAACCCAAAAGATTAAGGCCCGAAGCAGCTGATGGTAGTGAGTCTACGGAATGGCAGAGATTTAGACGTGGATCAAGAGAGGGATCGAGAAAGCAGACAGGCTGAGACAATCATACCAGTGCCCATTGAGCTAGATGAGTCAACGAGACTGACAGAAGTGACAGTCCAGCCTGCCCAAGAAGAACATAACATTCAGATTAAGACTAAGAAAGAAGCTGAGACAGCCCAGGAACAAGTAGTTGAGGTGTTAGCTGATAAAGAGCAATCCCAAATCATTGGGAAGTAGAGACCTCCAGCACCATTCCCTCAGAGGCTAGCCAAATACCAAAAAGAGGAGCAATACAAGAAATTATTGGAGATGCTGAAACAAATCCAGGTAAATATCCCATTGATAGATGCTTTGAAAGAGATGTCTAGATATGCAAAAATGATGAAAGACTTGATGTCCCGAAAATTCGATTTCCAAGACCTGGCCACAATGACTCTTACTCAGACCTGCAGTGCAGTGGTGACTAGACCAATTACTGAGAAGCTGTCTGATCCAGGGAGTTTCACAATTTCTTGCACCATTGGTAATTTTGCTTTTGCTAAGGCACTTTGTGATCTAGGGACTAGCATAAATCTTATGCCCCTGGCGATTTATAAGAGGATGGAGATTGGAAGAGCTAGACCTACTTCCACGTTGTTGCAGCTGGCTGACAGGACTGTAAAAAGACCCTCTGGTACCCTAGATGATGTGTTGATTTAGGTAGGAAAATTTGTGTTCCCTGCTGATTTTGTGATCTTAGACTGCAAGGTGGCTGAAGAAATTTTCAGAATTTTGGGAAGGCTGTTCTTAGCCACTGGGAGAGCTCTCATTGATTGTGAGACTGGGGAGCTCAAGATGAGATTGAATGATGAAGACATAACATTTGTAGACATGTGATTTTTGACCCTCCCCAAGATTTTTCATATTTTAGCGTAAATATTCAGTTTAGGTTTAGTATCGCTCTCCTTACTTTATTTTATCTAAAAAAAAAGAAACTACAAAAATATTTTCCCTTATTCTAGCTAGTTGATATTTTGTCTAGTTAGTTTTATTTTGAAAAAAAATACAAAAATAGTCTTGGCATTTTATTTTCCAAAAAAGATAAGAAGAAAAGATAATTTTTTTTTTTTACATTTTAGTATATATTGAGTGATATTTAAATTTCATTAATATGGTAATTATATGTCTTCTCTAAACATTTTTATTATCTTAAATATACTAGTATCTTTATAAAGTTATTTTTAATTCATTTTTAATATCAAAGGAAAATATAAATGGAAAAAAATATTTTGATTTAGTCTTCCTACCCCAAAGTTAATTAGCCCAAATTCATGACCTAAATCCCTTCAAGCCCAAAATATTGAGCGCATACCCAATTCCCCATTTGACCTAACCTAATTCCTACCCCTATAAAATAACCCCTAACTCCTAAAATGAAAAAGGGAGAGGAACAGAGAAAAAAATAAAAACAACGCCTGGAAAAAGGCTAAAAAAGGCGCCGCAGACCCCTGTATCCTAGATCCCCCCCCCCCCCCCCCCCCCTCCATGTCGTCTTCTTCAATAAAGCTCCTTCTCATTTGAAGAAAAAAGAACTAACAGCTTCTTCTTAGACTAAGGTAGTCGTTGCTCCTTGTTCCACCACTCTCTGCTGCCCAGAAATAGTCGGGCACGCACATAAGACGGAAACGGATCTGACCAAAAACGTGTAGCTTTGGCGACCTTCCATTGAATCCGGCGAAACAAAGTTCGAACCTATCGGTAAACCCAGCTCCAAAACTCCCTGAAACTACACCAAATCAATGTGAAAATCAACTCGAAATCACCACCCAAATCCAGTCGAGTTGAATCTGTTCAGGTTGTCGATTCCGGTCCGGGTTTCTAGTCTATAGCTCGCTTAAGGATTTGCTGTTCTAGAGCTTTTATTTTCATTGAATCTACTGTAGAATTTCAGCAATAGAAGGTTCGTTCTTTCATTTCTTCACTAGATATTTATCCGTATGTCTGTTACTAGCATGCACAATGAAATTCATTTGCGTTGGTTCTCTGTTTTAAATTTTTCATTATAAGATGTATGATCACGTTATATGAATGCACACATTTGTCCTTTCCTCTCTATTTGCTTAAGTTAGAATGTTGTATTAGTGTTGGAATGTCTAGAATATTTTAATAGTTAAGTTTTAAAGTTTTGGATATTACTTCACATTGGGCCCATCACTGTATATTGTGGTTGACACATATAAATAGGTGTGCTTTGTGTCTCTTGCATCTTCTAGTCTTTGACAAATCTCATAACAAATTGAAAAGCAAAGCGCTAATAATACATCATATGCACAAATACATCATATGGCCGGAACATGCATTGATTTACTAATGAATTTATAGCTTTCAAATTGTATTTGTGGACTTGTGTGTGGAAAATATTTATTAGCTATTAGGAAAATAAAAATGAACATCGTAGTGCTTTAGGCGCGTAATTTAAATTAATTTTCTTAAACTTGGGTGTGCATTTATGTGACCCAAATCCAAATCTCAGTAATGTTAGATAAGATATGTCGGGGACCGCGGGTGCATTTATGTGATGTGGTTCAAGACGTGTTTTAGATGACGTTGAATCTTTCTTAAAACAAATAATCAATCAAAAGCGGTTCTAAAGTTAAAATTGTACCATGGGCTAAAACATGTATTAGAATCAGATAATTAGGCCAATAATAGTAGTGAGCGACCGTGCTAAAACCATGGAGCTCGGGAATGCCTAACACCTTCTCCCGGGTTAATAGAATTCCTTACCCGGATTTCTGTGTTCGCGGACTGTAAAACAAAGTCAATCTTTTCCTCGATTCGGGATTTGAACCGATGACTTGGGACACCATAAATTATCCCAAGTGGCGACTCTGAATCTTTAAATAAATAAATCCCATTTCGATTGTCACTTTAATTGGAAAAACTCCTTTGTACTACCTTCGAGATAGGGAAAAGGAGGTGTGACAGCACTGGCGACTCTGCTGGGGATCGAACCCAGAATCTCTGGTTCAGGGTTCAAGAATTCGAGCTTAGAATAATTGTTATATTTGGCTATATTTATTATCTGATTTTGTTACATGTTTGGGCCTAATATGCTAAATGTTGCTTTTTACCGCTTTCATATTATTTGAACTGTATATAAACTGCTACGAAACCCCTCTCTTCTATCTTCTGAGGAGTGCACGCTGGTGTGACTTCTTTCTGTTAGTGTCATATCCCAAATAGAACGAGGTTCGGACAAGTTTCAAAGCCGGATGATCTTCTGGTTACCGGTACGCTGACCCCCTCGGCTCGAGTTGTCCGCTCGGGTAAACCAGGTGTAGAACAATACACCCAGGTTTTAAACCTAGAATAACTCAGCCTCATTCCGTCAAAACTGGGCGAACTACGCGGGTCTGATTCTCACCGGATGTGAGATACGTAGGCAAACTTCATCGGTTCCGACCCATAATTTTCAAATAATCCACAAATATTTTCCTTTACTTTCTCTCTAGAAAAGTCTTTTTTTGAGACCCCAATTTTCAAAAAATTCAAAAATATTTTCCATTACTTGCTTCTTTAGAAAGCCTTTCTTTTAGACCCTAATTGTTTTTTTAAAATATATACAAAAATATTTTCTTTTAATTTCTTCCAAAAATTCAAAAATATTTTCATTCTTCCTTCAAAATTGAAAAGAAAATTCAAAATTCAAAAATATTTTCTTTTTTTAGAAGAATTTCTTTCATAAATTCAAAATAAAATTCCAAAAATATTTTCTTTCTTCTTTAGAAGTTTTTCTTTCGAAATTCCAGAAAAAAATTCAAAAAAAAAATCTTTCTTCTTTAAAAGTTTTTCTTTGCAAAAATGATGAAGAAAAATCAAAATCCAAAAATATTTCATTTCTTCTTTATAAGTCTTTCTTTAGAAAAAATAAAATAAAAAATTCAAAAAAAAGAGTTAGTTTATTTTCTTTATTCCTAATCTTCCCGAACTACGCAAGATCTGATTCATGTTCCCACATGATACGTAGGCAACACACATCAGGTTCGATTGAATGGTTTAAAAAAGGGAAAATGAAAAAGAGAAAAAAAACCAAAAAAAGAGAAAGGAAAGAAACAAGAAAAAAAGAAAGAGTGTTTATTCTAACATGGTTATTGTTTTGAAATAAAAGTTAGTCAAAGGTGGTCGGTTTGTTGGTTTGCAATGGCGAGTCACAACAATAATCCAAGATCTCTCGGAAATAAAAGTATCTTCTCAACCAAGAGAATAAGCACCATTGATGTTGATCCAGGGTCACAAAAAGGCAAGTAGGAAAATTGACGGTGAAAAATTAAAAATGGAGGCAAATGTGGGGTTGACTTTACCAGATTTGAGCAATAGGACATGGGCTGCTAGGGATGATCGTCAAAATTTGAGTGTTGCATCCAAAGCAATCAAAATGGTTAAATGTCGTAGTAATGCTGATGTGCGAATGTGTGGCTAAGATGTTGCTTAGCAACTGGAAAGTCACTCCTCTTTTAGCATGGTAGTTTATTTTGTCATTTTTTCTTCTTTTTTGTGTTATCGGACCTGCTATTCTTTATTCAATAAAAAGCAGTCAGTCAATTTGTGTCCATTTTGTGCATAGTTCTGTTTATGCTAGTTTTTGGTGACATGACATGTATGAGGAATTTTTGGCCAGATCTTAAAAAACTTATTTAGTCTTGAATTGGATAAGTGAGAAAGAGACACTTTTGAAGATGAATAGAGACATGAAACAATTGGGAAAAAAGCATGAGCCAAGTTTACATGGAACCAAAGCAGTCATGCTCATAGAAGTTAAGGATCTCTACTTTTTGAATCATTTGAGAAGACCGAGCTTAAGGATGATCGGACGGGTTGAAATTTGTTTAGCACTGAGAGATAGAAGGTGTTTTTCAAAAGATAGTCTATTCCAGACAACTTAAAATGGATTAGTTAGTGGCAAAATGCATCTTCTTCATCAAGACAAAATCCAAGAAAAGTCACCTGAATTGACAAGGGGCATTCACTGCAAGGAAAGTATTGCTCATACAGCTTTACATTGAAAAAGACCCAGAAAGCAACAGGTCCATCAATGTCGTGATTGTGAAAGATACTATGTTTGACATTCTCGAGGTTGGGAGGCCCTTTTTCTGCTACCCAAACCCTTTATACCCTTTGTCACCCTTTTGAGCATGTGTTCTTTCTTTGACCGCCCTCTTTTGGAATCAAGTTTAGAGTCAAGAAAAAAAATGAAAAAAAAAAGTCCATGCCTCATGAGTACAAACTGGGGCAGCTAAGTTCAAGTGAAAAAAAAGAAGAAGAAAAGAATTATCAAAGGCCCATGCCCTCAATAAATAGAAGCTGGGGCAATTTATTTTGAAAACAAAAGAAACAAAAAAGATAGAAAAAAAAGAGAAAAAAAAACAGAAAGAAAAATGAAAAAAATAGTTAGGTCAGATGTTTGAACTACATTCGACCTGATTCCTTAAAAAATAAGGATACGTAGGCAGCCTCACGGTTCGGTCCAACCAAATAAGAATTCAAAAAAAAACCCCAAAAAATCCCCAGCATCTGAAACTGGGGCAAAGATTTTATTTCATTTTTGAAAGAGTCGATTCCAAGAGTTGTAAGTCTACAACCCCTCATTTTGAGTTTATTTTGAGCCTTCATGCCGACTTTCTTTCCAACTCTATCCAAAAACCTTCCAAATAAAGACCTCCCAATATGCCTTCAAGAATGCCAATAGACGCATGCAATGAGCAACAGTTGTCACACGACGTAGAACATCGTCGAGTTGCTCACAAAAAAGCGGGAAAGAAAAAGAAAAATAAAAATGAGAGAGTCTTATTAGTGAAAACCCTCACGGGCACAGTAAGACGACGGTAAGTAGAGAT